GTCAGATAATTTGATCATATACGAGGATATCGTTAACTAAGATTTTTTTCTATCACTACTACCACGGTTGGGTGGGAATGCACTTCGGTTTTTACTTCACACGCCTACTGACACGTATTGTAATCGTAAAAAAATCGAAAATGAGATACTATGTTCTTTGGATGTTATATGACATGTACATCACAAAAAGACATGTTGCTCATTTCCGTCAGTCTGTCTGTCTGTCGGTGAGTCCGCAAATCCTTGGCCCGTATAAGGATGACTTTGAAGTTGAGTCATTAATTTTCAGATAATGATTGTAGAAGGAAGATAAACCAAAATATGTGTGTAAAAATAAAAAAAAATGTTACCTTTCTCCCGACAAGTATTTCAGTGCGGACCTGTATTTGATCGTGCGGTCTTGGAGCACCAGCATGCCCTCCCCTGTGAGGTCTTACGTCACATGATTCACGAGCCCTTTGTACTACTAACAAAGGCACGAGGGGTTGGTTGCACTCGATTGGGAAGCCGATCCGCATAAATCCGTGATGCCGCGGCAGCATTTTGTAAAGACTCCCCCCCGTAAATAAGAATCATGTCCACAAGTTCAGCATTTTCGTAAACATGTGCCATTTTTTATTTCGTTTGAACCACGCAACAAACACCCCTATTCACTCACGCGTTACCGACTGACACATTGACTGAATACAACTGAATAAAATTGTAGTAAAAACATCGTTTCAAATTCTTTCGCTTTTTGTTCCGATGCGATGAACCGATAAGGCGGATTATATTCGTTGTTGCCAAACACGAGCACATAATCTTATTATTGAGACAGGGCGGTACTCAAACTTCTAAAGGGCTATAACTTTGTTACTTTAGTTTTACCAGAAAAATGTTAAAGGAAAAAACATTTCTTTTGATCAGATCTACTCACTGTTAAAATAAATGACTCAACATCGAAGTCACCCTGCATAACTTTGCTCGGATTGGTTGAAATTTTCACACAATGTTATTACTATACCAAGGACGAAAAAGTATGGTAGATTTTGAAAATCGGCCCAGTAGCGGCAACTACGGGCAAAACTAAAAAATATAAGAATCATCCAAACATTTTTTTTGCATTTCAGAGGCTCCTGAACATTTTCTGAAAACCTTTGTAGAGGTTAAAAATTGGCAGTTTATATTTATTTATATTATATTTATATTGTATTTTTTATATTTTTTTATGTTAGTAAAAATTTCTTTCAAATCCGAGCAGTGCTTTCCAAGTTAGAGACAGGCCTGGGATCACCGGACAGACAGACCGACAGACAGATCGACAAACTTACCGACAGACAGACAGATAGACCGACAGTCAAGCCGACGGAAATGAGTTACATGATTTTTCGTGATGCACTTGTCATACAACATCCAAAAAACAATCTCATTTTTGAAATTTTTCGCCATTACAGTACAACCGTGTGTAAAAATTTCATTCAAATCCAAGCAGTACGCCACGCCTTTTTTGGTTAATTAATAAAACACAATGATAAATACTATCTAACGGTTGGTCCAAGCAAACAGTTGTCCAGTGGCGTGCAAATTTAGGCCCTAGCCCAACAAAGCGGAGAGTAGGGGGGGGGGTTAAGAGCGCCAGTGACTTAGGACGGATTAAGCCACAACTCCCCGAGATGTTAGTCGGAACTTGTTTTGCTTGACCACCGCACAAAAGGAGAATCTAACAGAGATGTGCAAAATTTAAGTAACAGTACACACAGAGATAGCCAAATAACAAGATATTAAATGAATCACAATATATTGATTAATAAAAAAACGCGCATGTACTCCACTACTGGAGTGCGAATAATAAAAAAAAGAAAGGATGTTATAAATCTTAAATACAACCTGACAAAATTATTTTTCGAGATAACCCCGCGAAGCGTCTACCATGTTATACGCCCGAAGTATTAACAGATATTTTGCGCCTAAATATACTAAGTGACATATAAATCCGAACACCCAGTTTAAATGGTTTTATTTTAATAAAAGTTGGTGAATGTATTTATCTTACTGTAAATAACAAGTGAAAAAATTTTCAGCCTTATCAGTTGGACATTTCGGTTTTTATACTGCTCTTTTTTAATTCACTAACGCTCTAAACATGAATATTTCAGCCGCAGTAAAGAATCAACGTTGGCGGATTTTGGTTCTTGACATCCTTTACGATCGGTTACGATGCCTAGAGTACGGAGACCTGTACGATTTCGTCAACTTAGTGAGTTTGATACGGGCCGTATAGTGGGACTTCGGGAAGCTGGACTTTCTTTTCGGGCAAATGCAGTTAGAGTGCAAAGAAGTGTAGACACTGTGGTTAGGTGTTGTCAGGCATGGCTTCGAGAATTCCGTACGCAAAGAGCAAGGGGCACTGGACGCCGCCGTAGAACAACAGACCGTGAAGATCGCCGCCTAAGATTATTGGCCTTAAGGGACCGTTTCTCCACTACCAGGTCCATTGCAAATGAATGGTTTGCAGAACACGGAAGACCTATTGGCATGCGAAGTGTTTACCGACGAATGAGAAGTTTTGGCTTGTTTTCATACCGGCCACACTGGGTCCTCCCTTTAACTCGAGAACACCGACGTAATCGCCTTGAGTGGTGCAGACAACGGTCACTCTGGGATCAGGAATGGAACAGTATTGTCTTTAGTGACGAGTCTCGATTTGTTTAGGCATGCACGATGATCGTGCCAGGGTTAGAAGGCGACGTGGTGAAAGGAGGAATCCACAGTTTTTTGTTGAAAGACATGTTCATCACACTGTTGGAGTTATGGTTTGGGGTGCTATAGCTTATGGTTCCAGGTCACCTTTAATCTTCATCAGAGGTAACATGAACGCGCAGCGTTATATCCACGAAGTTCTAGAACTCCATCTTTTACCCTATCTTGACACCCTGGCATATCAACTTTCCAACAAGATAATGCCCGACCACATGTTGCAAGAGCCACAATAGACTTCTTTCAACATAATGATGTCACATTGTTACCATGGCCACCAAGATCTCCCGACTTATCCCCACGTGTGGGATATGATGGGTAGGAGATTGCTCAATTTGCAACGTCCTCCCAGACTCTAGAAGCACTTCGAGAGGAGTTGGTGGTTGCCTGGAATGAGATACCACAGGAGGACATTGACCACCTGATCAGAAGCATGCCTAGGCGCGTTGGAGAATGCGTAGCACATCAGGGTGCATCCACACATTATTAAAGGTCAAAGGGCTTTAAAGCAGTGCAATCATTTTGAAATTTTTATCATTACTTATTATGCTTCATTAAGTACTTATACAAAATTTTATTAAAATAAAACCATTTATACTGGGTGTTCGGATTTATATGTCACTTAGTATATTAAACTTATCTGTAGGTCTTCTTTGTTAGGCGCGGCCGAGATGTCCTCAACTCTGGTCAAAAAGTGGCCAGTAGTGGGCACGTCACTGGGCAGGCGCTGCTTGCCTCGTTGCCAAAAATTATGGTAGTAAAAAAAACCCTAGAGAGAGAAAGTCTGTTTAAAACTCTACTCTACTGTCTGTCTGAGATAAAACTACTCATTGAAAACAATCGCACTTGAATCAAAACCATGTACATTTTTTGTACAAGAAAATTAAAGCAAAGCCAAAAACAAAGATAAAATGTACTGAACCAATATACCCTTGTTCTAAAAAGTTATGGCAGCTCAAAAATCAAAATCATGATCAATGTAATAGAAGGTGCTATGTAGGCACTGCCCCCATACTTGAATACGAGGAATGTCCAATAAAATCAAGAAGTCTCTAGGGGCCGATTTCACCCACTTTAATATTATGGACCAATAGGAAAATACCTGCTCGAAATGCAATTTGACGGAAGCTGTCAAAGGTCTCAGAATATCAGTGATTTCTATTAAAATGTTGAATAAAATCGTGGAAATTCGACTGTGTTATAAACAAGACCACTTTTGATTCCAACATGATGCTTTTGTACAGAGAAAATAGGACAACTTTCATGTATTTTGATTTATGTTATAGGTGTACATTTGACCATCTGTTATCCCCTCAGCGAATGGGAATGGGAGAAATAATAGGTCGATTTTCTAGCTGTTAAATTTGGCAGCAGGTTTGGTCGTTTGTTAATTCATGGCAATCTCGAAATTTGTTAAGTTCAATATACTGTGTGTATATGTGATCATTATAGCTACACATATGTTGAATTGTGCGGATTTGCAAGAAAATAGAATATAAAATATATTCCAACCAATTCCTCATCTCTCTTTACATCATAATAGTAATCGTTTGTTATAAATTCATGGGTTAATGAATTTCTTGAAAGCAATCAAAACAGTATGGTCGTCCCCATCCTAAAACACCGATATGTGTAAAACATGTTAATCCCTACATCTCCGAGGTGCATAATGCAATTAGGTACTGTAGACATAGACCTAAAATTATTAGTAATTACTGAAAAATAAGAGTTAAAAAGAATTATAAATAGTGATAAAATATTGGTGGTTAAGGTTTTTGACTGGTGACTGGTGGGCATACAATATAGGGATGGCGACGATAGACGATACATTGATGCATCGAAAACATCGATATATCGGACGTAGAACATCGATAAACATCCGTAACCGTATTCCCCGAGTCTCAGTGGCGGCTCGTGATTTTACAAATAGGTGACGCAGGATTGACCGACCCCCCCCATACCATGTAGAGCGCATACACAAAAAAAAACATGAAATAACTTACCTAAATTCAGTAACTCGAAAACAAAGTCAGGATTATCAGGCACTTTTCATTGTTTATATATGAGAGCAATTCGTCGGTCCTTCAAATTAGCAAACTTATTTATAACGTCATCGTAAAACGGCTGTGACACTATCAGTTCATTTAATAATTCTTTTTCGATCGATATTTTTGCCAAGTTCGTCAACCGATCTTCCGACATGGTACTTCGTAGATAACTTTTGATTCGCTTAAGGCATGAAAAACTGCGTTCTGTCGAAACACTTGTTGATGGAATGGTCAGTATTAAACACAAAAGCTTATATGCCTCCTTGAAGATACTGCGATTCTCAAATAGCGATTCCTTTAATAAGCGGGGTTCCATATTTTGATATTGATCATCGCTATAGATCAGCTGCAATTCATTTTTCAGTCTCTGAAAATCTGTGAATGTATTTGAATAAAACTCCTTCAAATTACTTAGGGCTTCTGTTGGAAATTTTTCTGAATATGTTTTGAACTTCGAAGTGTCCATTAACGTCACAAAATGAAGCTTTTCCATATCTTGGAAACGGGTCGTGATTTGCAGAGAAATGGTATCCAAAATTTCAAAATACAGCACTCTATATCTTTCAATAATTTGATCCCGAGACAATGTTACTCTTGTCCTGCCGTCGCGGTGTTCCGTTTGTACACTTGTTTTTGATGCAGCCAATTCGAAAATATTCTTAAATGTTTCTTCATTTCTCTTCTTGTTTAATTGTGTTTGAACACTTTTAATTTGCTTAATGCAAAGGTTTATATCAAAAGATTTTTTTTGCAGTGTGTCGAATAGTATATCTGTCATTCCAAAGATCTCGTTAAAAACAACAACCAAAAGCACGAATTCGAAGTCATGGAATTTATTTAGAAATCCGTCGCTCTGTCTAACCGAGGCTTGATCGGAGGTTGGATCATTAATAATTTCAGTAAACACTTGCTTTAAGGAATCCCACTCCTTATTTATAAAACTGATAACTTTAGAATTTGATGTCCATCGCGTAATAACGGAAACAGGTATTCGACGTCCTATTATTGAGTCTGCTACGTTAGTTCGTTTCGGAGAATGGTGAAAAAATGTCGGTAAACCACTTATAGTTGCAAAAAAAATACGGCATTTTGTAATACTATTGCAACTTTGTTGTAACACTAGATTCATGCGGTGTGCGAGGCAATGAACAAAAACTGCTTGGGGTGCCTGTTCCTTTATTTTAGCCTGAAGACCATTTAACTGTCCGGACATGACGCTTGCACCATCGAAACATTGTCCAACGAGTTTTGTTTTGTAATCAAAATTTTGTAGACACCTTGTCACGAGGTTAAATAATGCTTCAGATGTTCGGCTGCAGCTTACATCATGAAATCCTAAAAATCTCTCCACAAGTTTTCCTTCAAGATTGACATAACGGATTATTATGCTGCACTGCGATTTGTGGGCAATATCGGTGGAATCATCCACCTGAATGAAAAAAAACTGCATTCCTTTATTTCATTTTCCACATATTCATCAATGCATTTGACAATGCAGTCAATAATTTCGTTTTGAATGGTTTTAGAATTGCCCGCAAATATTGAGGCAATTTTTTTGTAGTGCTCCTGAATGTCTACAGGGCTTATAGATACAAATGCTTCTAGGAGCTCTTTGAAATTTCCACGGTTAATAGAAGTCGTCTCTTCGTTGTGGCCACGAAACGCCAGTTCTTGTTTGCCCAAAAAAAGGACAGCGCGTATTGGCAATTCCATGAAACGTCTATTAAGTTGCACGTTTTCGTTAAACTGTTTAATATACAGCCTGGAATTTTCGCGTAAAGCATCCTCAATAGTAGTGAGATTTTTCTTCAATTTTGAAAAACCTAGTGCGCAACGCATATGATCCGATGATCCTTCATGTTTACGAAGAGCACGAGTCACATTCCCGAAATCATTGAAACCGTACTTGCTCCACACGGTTGCTTTAACACTTACAATCAACACGGCACACAAAAAAGTTTATTTAAATAATAGCTACCACATAACCATGCAAACTCACTATACCACGATTTTTTAAAATTTCGACTGTACACTTTGTCCTTAACTTTAGCGGTTTTATTTACATTTAATATCGGAGAAGGTTTTTCGGAGTTTAAAAAGTCTTTTTTATCATCATTACTCCATTGAGAAAACGATTTTTCCAACATAACACAAACCGTATCATAGACAGGAAACATTGTTCAAAACAATGAAAACTAACCTCGACACAATACGATATCGGTAATAATGCAGAGCAGACTAGACGCAAATTCATAATTTGCTTCACTTGCCTCGGCCAAAACGGAAGCGCGCGTGCCGTTGTCATGGCAACCGTCGTATTTGCTCGTATCTGTACTGGACGCAGCAATGCGGTGTAAATAAAGCTGCTTCAGGTCTCTGTTTCAACACGCCAAATTAAGCGCAAACGTAGGCGCGTTGTTTTTTGCGGGGTTTCTCAGTATTCTGTTGATCGCAAATACAAATAAAGAATGTCCGAAAAATAATTTTTTAAGATATAAATGAATTTTTTTTATAAATTTCAAAATAAAAAAAATATATTTTTTTTGAAATTGCAGGTGAAGCAGCGCTTCACCTGCGTCATGGGGCGAGCCGCCACTGCCGAGTCTATCCTTAACTGTACTACCATCTCTAAGCGAGGACTGGTAGCTTCGAAATTGAAAGGCCAGAAAGCTATTTAGGTGTTTAGTAGTATTTGAATATTATCATTACAGACGAGCACTGAGCCACTGAGTGGCCACTGAGCACTGTAGTCTTTTCTTCATTCTGTACTTCCCCAAGGGATAGAATAAAATAGACTGAAAACAGCGCGTTTAATGATTTTCAGTTCTCAGAGAAAGATTTTCCCCTGCCGGCCCTTGACATCGTTTCGAAATATGAAATTCTGGAAACGCTATAAAAATAAAATGAATACACAAAGCCTACTTACCTATTTCAGACAAAAACAAAACAACTGCCACATAACGATTGTCATCTTGACATCATTCTGCAATCTGTCAAAGTAGTGATGGGCGTGCCTGCTGCACGGTATACGGTATCGATATTCGATAAAATATTTTTCTTTCTACCATGAATGCGTGGAAAAAACAAAATAAGGGAGATCTAAAATAAGGAGTTATTGAAGGCCTAAAATAGCCAGGCGCTAATAATTCCTGGCCGTATTTGAATATCTAAGCAGGCACAGTAAAACAAAAATAAGAATTGGAATTAATAAAGTTTATTTCGACAGTTGGCAGAGTTTGCTCCACTGGGACGAAGTGTTGACGGATCCCACAGAATTATGTGTCACTTGTCGATATGGTCAGTTTTAAAATATCAGGAGATAATCAGCAGTTATTCAAATCAGTGTATATGTGTTGTGATTCAAATAACGTCTAATATAAATATAACCCAGAATATGTACTCAGTGAAAAAAGAAAAATATTGCAAATTTCTAGTTTTTCTGCAGGTCTTAGGTTTGCAGGTAGCTGTACGACATATATTTGGGTATTTATTAATCGCTGTGAATATAGTGTGGATATTTGTTAAGTTCCTGAACAACGAAAAATATTCAACTTTATGGATGTATGGATATTAAAAAACCAGAATGGTTTTGTGGGAATATCAATCTAAGGTGCCATAATGGTTCTGATGAACGACAAGTAAATGAATGAATGTTTGGAAACGAGCAATATCTATGAACTTTTTGGTAGAGCCAGTCATCAAGTAGGTGCTTAATGGCTATCTGCAAGAGGTTTATAGGAAAAAACACCCAGTAGATGATCTTGAATCAGTAAAATCGCATATCAACTAAAGAAAATAATATAAACACGAATAAAAAATCAGCAATATTAATTAAATCATGAATTTTATTGAAAAATCAAACATTTGTTTAAATTTTGACTGAATTATATGTAATTTCTTAATATTCAATAAGCTGATGTTGTTGGTGAAATTGGCCCTAAGAATTTCAATAAGCAATAATAAATGTATAAAGATCTATGAAATTGTTAACTGGAATGATATTTCACCTGTTCACATCAGGGTTTTTTTTCAAGGGGATGGCTCCCACCAATTTGCAAAACTGCAACAAGATGCAACCAACTGGAGGAGAAAGGATGATGATTCTCTTCTGTTTCTATTGACTAAAAGAAAGCAGATATTGAACGAACGTCATCAGGACACGCACTAAGGCACGTGGTCCGAAGGTATATAAAAAATAACTTACCGCTGAGGGTCAAAATCCCATAAAAAAAATGGACGACGTAGCACTCTATTATCAATGAAGAGAAATTCAAATTACGGATAAGTGATAAATAGTAAAAAAAAGGTTACGTGATTTTGGCACGTGACAAGTACTTTCCAAGTTAAAGAAGGCCTGGGATCAGCGGACAGACAGACCGACATACAGACAGACATACCGACTGACAGACAGACCGACAAACAGTCCGACAGACAGGCTGACATACATACCGACAAACATACCGACTAACAGACCGACGGAAATGAGTGACATGGTTTTTCGTGATGTACGTGTCATATAACATATCTCATTTTTGAAATTTTTCGCGATGGGAACTAAAAAACGATATGGTTACAATAACAACTGTTTACGACTGCTCCAGGCATCTATCAAATCTAAACCATCAATTGGTACTTCATAAAAGCAGTCCCGACTATAATAAGCCTTATTTCTGGTTCCTCCGTATAACGTATAATCATCTTACCAAAACTTAACACTCATTTCTTGCATTTTTCCACTACTGTGTTTTAAGTTGTTTTATCTTTGGCTTTGATATCCTCACATATGATTTCATGATTATATCTGAACATCTGTCGAACAGACCTCCATTAAGCGTGAAATATATATTGAAACGAATTTCAAAAAGAACATTTGCAGACTAATTCCCGTTCATCCGTTTCACTTAATGGGTTTTTAATGTCCGGCTGAACTACTGGTTGACTCAATAATTTCGATAATTCATTTAATTGTGAGATAGATTTTGTAGTATTCGTCGTTTTGGTGACGACCCACAATTATATCATAGTTTCAATCATGAAAATTTAGAAATTTCGGAAGCACACAACCTAAATTCTATTGAAAATTATGCAACAAGCCATAGTTTTCGATTGAATCCCTCTAAATCCAAAGTTAAAAACTATTTTACTGGTTCACGGCTCCTGTAATTGAATAAGGAAATAATTGTTTTTAAAGCCTAAACAATTTCATGTGATTCTCCAATATTGTCAAAAATCCCATATTGTGATTTAGACCCGTATCGTCAGTCGTCCCTACAATTGTAGGGCGCCTTTATGGCCTCCTTGATTGTCATAGTTTTCTACTTCTCCGTGTCAGCGCTCTATTTTGAGATTATCTCACAAACATCTTTTTGCATCAAATTGTGCTTGCTTTTGAGTTATATCATGTTTTATCAGCCTAAAATTTCCTACAATTTAAAAAGAAAACATATCTTTACAATAGGACAGCGCTGACGCTGACACGGGACAAGTGTAATCTAGAAATTTTTGATGAAGAGAAAGGAGTATGAAAATCAAGGAGGCTATAAACGTGCTCTACATTTGTAGTATATTGTCCATTTCTAGACTCACTTTCAGTTAAACGTCTACAAAACATTCAACATTCATGTTGTAGATTGATTTTCAATTAAAGAAGATATGATGACGTTAGTTCATGTTTCGAACAGCTGAATTTGTTGAATATTGCAAAGTTGTACAAATTTCATTTATTATGTTATGTTCACTGCTACATACTTTGATCCCTTCATTCTTGAAAAATAAATTGATATCTCCACTCATGGAATATTCGATTCACTGACACTTATCTACGCCTCTTCAAAAACTTCATTATTTCATAAATGCTTTACCTATATATAATACGATCAATCTATACAGGGTGTTTCAGAACTATGGGGGTTATTCAGTGTAACAGTAGAAAACATTTGAGTACAAGGACCCATATCCGGAAAAGTGTCACTACGGCCCTTTATAATGATATAAAATCAATGTATTTTAGTTCAGTAGTTTTGAAGATTTATTGAATTAAAGCTTAAAGTAGACTTTAATAGATATATCAGATTACCAGTAGTTTGTACTACTTTTAGAAGAAATTTGACTAAAAGGATTTACTTAATAAGTAAATGTTTTTCTTCACTACGTCCATGGTTTGTTTATCATTTTGTTGTTGAAAATAGCTATTGGAGCGTTTTTTTGTGGCAAAAAAGTTATTTCTTGATTAAAGATAAGGAAATATCTCGTACTTATTTTAAATAGGAATTTAGTACATAGTTTGCGATTGATTTGACCAAACTTTGTTGCTAAAATAACTTGTAAGGCTTTATTACATAAATTAACCATGGTATATTCCACAGCAGAAAGAGTTGAAATTATCGAAATATTTTTCGGAAATAATCAGTGCGCTAATAGAACAGCAGA